GAACGTTATCAGATACACCACACAAATATTAAACGGAACTTTTGACACATTATTTATAAGGCACGTATTATGTCAATGCAAAGAATTATGTTATTAATGCTGTATGAAATTAGACATCCAAAAGGAATAAAAAGTTAATGAAAAAATTTGAGGGCACCTGTTCAACAAGCTACTTTTCTCTTTTAAAAGACTGTCAAATACCTTTTAATAATAAATATTTCCTCACCGCAATAAACACACAACTATTCACAATGCTTAGGAATGCAGTGTTCTAGTAAAGTTTTTTCTAGTTTCCTGAAGGTTGATAAGAAAGGTTTATTTCAAACAACTATTACTCAAAGTATTTGGAGGTTTTCCCTTTAGGAATCATCCTCAGCACGAGTATATGAGCCACACATGAAAATCAGCCTCATTAACTGATGGCTCCACTTTATTTTTAACCTCAAGTAGCATTACTCTCCTTGACTACTCATCTCATTCAGCTGGCTTTACTCTTACACTTTCAAAATTATATCCATCTTTAAAGGATGAAAAGTGTAGCCAATAAAGATATTCAAAAGAATATGCTACCAGTTCTCAAAGCAGTTCCAAAATAGGAGTTCCAAAAATGTCCTGAGCGATGGCAGAAGCTTCTAGTCTTCTACATTGACTAATTTGAAAAGTAAACATTTATGGAGGAACAAACTCTGGTATGCTTATTTTAAAAAATCACTCTTGGACTGGGCTTCCATTAATATAGCAGGCTAAGTAACCAAATTAACTCTCCAAATCAAACCTAACAATACTAGATTTAAAAAAATACATATGAAATATATACTTATAAGAAAAAATATATACATATATGAAGCTTCAAGGAGCAAGGAAGAAAATAAGGAATTCTTAGATCTGAAAAAAGCAAGAAACGAGGAGATGAACGGGACACTGCAGCCTGTTTTGGCCCCACGAGCATCTGCCACACTAGTAAACTAGAGTTTTAGGGGTTTCTTCCCTTTGGCCCCTTCAGGGAATAAAAGATAAAACTCAGGGCCCACCTGAAGAGAGAGATCCTCCCAACCTAAAAGCTGGAACTTCACTGAACGGATGAGCCAGAACTGGCGTCCCTACCCCACCTTGTTTCAGTCGACTACAAGAAAATCAATTGCTTTGAAATTTGGCCCAAGGGGTGGAAGGAAGACAGTGCTACAAAGAATTTGGAACCATAAACCAGCCCTGGATCCAGTTTGCAGACTAAATTCCCATTACCTAAGATAAGTCCTCAGAAAAACCTCAAGATTTTAATTAGAGTGACTTTGACTAGCAGGTGCCTGGCTGAAGCAAATGCAAACCCTCCCCAAGATATCAGATGTTAGTTTCAGCCCAAACAGCAAAGAAGTCTCATAAATAAAATCAAATAAGGGGCTGGCCCGGTGGCGCAGCAGTTAAGTTCGCCCGTTCTGCTTCTCGGCGGCGGCCCAGGGTTCGCGGGTTTGGATCCTGGGTGCGGACACGGCACCGCTTGGCAAAAGCCATGCTGTGGTAGGCGTCCCACGTATAAAGCACAGGAAGATGGGCATGGATGTTAGCTCAGGGCTGGTCTTCCTCAGCAAAAAGAAGAGGATTGGCAGTAGTTAGCCCAGGGCTAATCTCTCTCTCTCTCAAAAAAAAAAAATCAAATAAAATTCTAAGAACAATGAGCCAGTAACTTAAAGAAACAAGGCACCAGAAGGGAGATCCTATAGAAACAACAGTGCACAGAGCAGTCCTGTAAGGGCTCCTGATAATGGAATTATCAGGTTACTATAAAATGCCTACGTGTTTAAGAATAAAAGACAAGACTGAAAATGTATGCAGAAAACATGAAAGAGTACCCATGTACAGATTCAGAAAGCCCAAAGAATTCTAGGCAAGATAAACAAAAAGAAACCCATCTTTAAACCTTTGTTGTACAGTGAAGACAAAAAGAAGACCCTGAAGGCAGCCAAGTGAAAGAACAGATTACTTCAAAGGAGCAAGAGTTAGACTGATTAGAATAATATTTTCAAAGCATTTTGATTTTTAAATAAACCCCTGTGTCTGTTTGTCTTTTATAACGTATCCGTCGGAAAAGAAAAAGTGCAGAGGCAAAAAAAAGATATTAAGAGTTCTGGTTAGTCAAGGTTCCACTGCAAAGTCCTCCCCTTTCTAGCAGTCCTCATACGTTATTCTATTTCTGATCTTTATTGTGACCCTGAAATGGAGGATCACATCAACAATAGCATCAACTAATACCTACTCGAGAGAGGAAACAGTTTGTTAGTCAAAAGACTAGACCATTCCTAGAGACTCCTATCTGGGTGTAGATCAGTTAAAGGAGTCTGTAATTTAAAACACACTGCAAGGTAAGGCTATGCAGAATGAAGACAAAGCATTCTCTTTTTCTATACAGAGGAAGCTCAAATCGCTTCTCTCAAAATCCAACTTTCATGAGACATCTAATATTCAATAAAAATGTTAACTCAAGGTGATGAAAGAAAATATAAACAAGACTGGAAAAACAACAAAAGAATTGTACTTAAAAAAAAATGTCCAACTAGAGCTAGCCAGTGGTGATAATGAATATTGACAATTTTAATCCTGATTGAAGCATTCATACAGGCTTAATATTACCAAGGCATTTAAGAAGCCTACATTTTTGCTTTCATCAGTTCCATAGAACATACCTTCTTAACTCTAAAATGCTCTTCTGGAGCATTACATATCTGAGAGTGATTACTTGAGGCCTAGAACATAACTGAAGTGCCCCAGCCAAACCTCAAAATATACTTCTTCAGTTAGCCCCACTACAGGCCCTGGCCACTTCTGTCATGATCTCTTTCCTTGTGTGAACATTTACAATACCTTTTACCTGACCTACAAGTTAGTACTTGATAAAATGTAATTGTAAAATGTTAGTATCGCCCCCAGACTGTCAAGGCTTCAAAGGTAATCCACGTTTCTTTAGTTTGCTATGTCCCACCATCTCCCATAGTTTGAACAAGTTTCATAGGATATGCTTTAGAAGAGTCATAAACTGATACTGGTACTTATTCAAAGTAAAGAGGAAAAGTAAGTTCTCTCTCATTCCAACAGGATGCTTTGAGATACTTCAGAGGACATCTCCCCTTGTAAATCCCAGTAGCATCTCATCCAACAAGTCCCTGTTACCCTCAAAGCTGCTCTTTTTCCTGCGATCCTTAAGAGTGAATGGCAGAACCATCAACCCAACTGCACCCACCAGGCTCTCCCACTCCTTCCTCCCATCCACGACTGCCAAATCATGTCAGTTCTACCACCTTTACAGTCTCGAATCCACTCCCTTCTCTTCATCGTTACGAAAACTATCTTAGTTTTGAAATCATCATCTCTCATCTAGCCTATTTCAACAACTTCCTAATGTTCCCTCTGCTTTGAATCCTGTTTCCAGCCCAAAATCCACTCCCTGAAATGCAACCCTGCAGTGGTGAAGTACAAGAACTAAAGAGTTGTACATGCCTGGGTTTGAATCCCAACTCACTAGGTGAGTGAACTTAGGCGATTTTCTTAATCTCTCAGCCTCAGTTTCTTCACTGCCAAAGTAGAAAGAATAACACCCACTTCTAATGGCTGATAGGAGGATTAAAGAAAGTAGTACATGTGAAGTATTGTGAACAGTGTTCCACACAGAGAAAGGCTGGGTTATCTATGTGTGGGGGGAGAGAGGAAGGAGGGGAGGGTACATGATGGATGTGTCAAAGGCTACAAAAATCACAGGATAAATATGACTCAACGCCCTAAAGTAAAGCATTAATATAACGAGAATTTGAGAACATATTTTATATCAAAACAAGGATATGTTGTCATACGTAATTAAAAACTTGCATAAATATTTAAGATAAAACAAGAGATTTCATCCAAAATTTTCTCCTGGGAGGTTGAGGCTCTTCAGAATATGCCTCTCAGACCCCCTGGAAAGTACAAATTCTCTTTTCTTCCCTATGCGCTTCCCGTGGAAAAGTCTGGAACCACTGTTTGCACGCAACAAGTGATGTTATAATTCGGTCAGTCTCCAGTTAAGCGTTCCAGGGACTCCCCAGTGCCCCCGGAGAAAGTCTGAACAATGAACACTGGCGTTCACAGCCCGGCTTTGCCTCTCCAACTCGGCTGTCTGCACTCCCGCACCAAAGGGCCATGGCCCTGCGGTCCTACAGTTTACCTCCCTTATCGTTGCCACTTTTGTCTGAAACCATTTTTGCTCCTCGCATTCTCCCACTCCCGCCCCCTGCATCCTCCTTTTCCCGGGCCAACCCCTTCAGTCCTCGGGCCTCAGATAAACATGACTTCCTCTGGCATTCCCGAGTCCAACTCCCTTTCTCCCGGGGCTGGGCCAGGATTCCCCAGCGCGCTCCCATAAGGGCACCTGTCACTCTGTGCAAACTGTTAAGCTCTGTGAGTTAAGGGGCTGTGTTGCCTTTTCCACTGTTTAGCGCTCAATAGAGACTTCCGAACTAACTAAACTCATGAATCCCGGTCTCTATAACTGGAAGGATTCCAAGAACAAGGATCTTTCAACACTAACTCAACAGCGATCTCCTCCATCTGCCGGATGGGAAGGGACCTCAAGACGAGCCACAGCCCTCTGACCCAGCCCAAGTCCCAGGACCTGGCAAACGCTAGACTGACTGGAAGGGACGCCAGCTTCGAAATATCGTCCAGGGGCACGTTTCGAGAAATGACTAACATACGAGACCAGCGGTCTGCCCTGGGCGACGAACAGCCCCGCGCACCCCAAGTCCTGGCGGAAGCGCCTCGCTCCGCGCACGCGCAGTAGCGCCGCGGCCGAGGGGGCGGGCCCCTCCCGGAATTGGGGGGGGGGGGGGCAGTCTTCACGGATGGAGCACGCGGGTTGGTCCGTGCTCCCGGAGGGGGTGGCCTAGAAACGCAACCGGTATGTCCCCGAGCCCTCTCACAAAGCAATGCAGCCTCCAGAAAAGCGGACGGTCACCCGTCCCAGAGCGGCTCCTCACCCTCGCTCCGCACGCTGTCCTCAGCAAAAGCCCCGCCAACAGGAAAGGCAGCACAGCACAGCGCAGCGGCCCACGACCTCCTCAGGCCCGGCCCTGCAGCTGTCCGATCGAGGCCGGAAACTGGGCCCGGCGCCGCAGCGGAAGTCCCGCCTCCCTCTTTCCATCTCCGCTTCCTCTGCCCAGGGTTACCTCCTAGTTTCCGATACCTGGTACTGGGTCTAATCCTGCTGCTTCACCGCCGTCGAGCGGAACGGGAAGATGTTCTTGAGACCTGCTCCCTGAGGGGTGCGGCCTGCTGGGCCCAGAGGCAAGAGGGAAACAAAAACCTCTGAGTTGCTTGTAGCTGTTGCTCCTTCCACAGCGCCACTGTTGAACCAAGAATCATTGACTAACTTTCTTTGCCGCTACCCTCCCTCACGCCACCACTTATCGTCCATTCTCGAGGGGTAATCAGAAGTCATCTCCTTGCTATTTTCCTTGAAACACTCAGTCTCTGAAGTCGTCATTTCCTGCTTTGCTATTTGAATAGCATCTGACAGTATCGCTGTCTTTATTAAACACTACCTCAGGCAGCGAGGTCCCTCCTTTCCTGCATCAGTTGTTCCAAGCCCTTACGCCGTCAAGTTTCCCACCCTGCCTCTCTGTCTCTCGTTAGAGAGCTACCACAGCCTTGCCCATCGTCCCTAGGGGAGCAATATCTTGGGTTACGTGGAACCTCCTCCCACCCCTCCCCGTTGAGAGTCCCTACTTGTCTCCCTTTGATCCAAATAAGTTAAACTCCTTGAGGGCAGAGGTGGTCATCCTATTGCACTCTCTATGAAAACGGCTTGATGAAAAACTTTCTGAAGCAGTGTGACATAATAGGATACACTTTGGTTTGCACACATGGAACCCCTTGAAAAACTGCTGCTCTTGCCCTTGACTGGGGACGCATAGGCTGCTGGAACCGTCCGACATCCCCTCTGCCAGTGCTGCAGTCAACCGTGTTGTGAGCAATAACCCTTTCTGTCCCCTGGACTAGGGACCCTCTGCTTTCCTCTCCACTGGGTCTGGAGATTGTTTTTGTCTTCTTCGTGTTTGTTAAATCCAAATTCTTTGTGTGAGGGGCCTACTTGGTTGAAGGCAAAGGAACCTGTTCTTAGATTCCCCTTCAGAACTAGGAGCTGTGGCTTTGACCAGATTAAAACGCCACTGAAGGATTTTAAGCAAGTGGGTAATATTAAGACACGCGTTTTTCTAAATGCTTACTGTGGATGCAATATGGAGAAATGGATGGGAGAGGCCAAAATGTATGTGGAGACCAGAAAAGAAGCTACTGCAGGGCTACAAGAGAGATGCTTAAACTAAAATGTTTGGAAACAAAGCAAAGGCAAATTGAGGAGATTTTTAGGAGGTAAAATAGAAATTGGTCATAGATTAGATTGAGAGTAAGGGAAAGGAAGGAAGGCAACAAGAACTAGGTTTCAGGCTTGGGCAGTGAGGTAGTATAACTGGTGGTGTCATTCACTATGATGGGAATAACAGAACAAAACTAATGGCTTCCTCCTCAAAAGACTCAAGTGTCTTTGCTTGCCAAAGGGCAAGATGAATAAAGAAGAGATGGGACATCAAAAAGGAGGGGCTGAATTTGGGAAAGAAAAGGGGCAAAAACTCAAAGGGGGAATGGACACATAAAGCAGTCTCAGAATGGAAACAAAAAAAGCAGGATTCCAAAACTTATCTTGATCATTAATCCTCTTGGGCATTGCCCATTGTGTGTCCCAGGGCCTTGCACAGAATGTTTTCACAGTATTTGACATCTAATGACCAATCAGGAGCCAAGGAAAATTTTAGCAAGAAATAATTCCACTTTGATTATCAAAATTTTATTATTGGTAATAACTTTGAAACTTTAAGGTAATGAGAAAGTGTTTTATTTCACCAAGAACACTTTACTTTGGGAGAACTCTGGTGGAGGTATGTCTAGAATCAAAGGTTAGTGACCTGAAAAAGATATACATAAATCATCTAGACCAGATTTCTGTTCTGAAAGTTATTGACCAATTTTACAGACGAAGCAATCAAAAACAATTGAGGTCTTAGGAAGTTTAAGTCACATAATAAAAAGTTTTTCTTGGCTTACTAGAACTATCCTGCCTCCTACTCTTTTTACTACTCAAATATATTGCTTTCTCTCAAGTCATTTCATGAGTATACACACAGACACACAAGTGATTGCATATACCTATAGAGCACCGATCATATTGCCTACTCTAGCTAAAGCAGGCATTTTTAAAAAAGGTACCTTTTAACCAGGTTTTTGAAAACTTGTTTTGTAGAACTGCCTTAGGAAGCTTGACAAAAGTGAGGTGGAGGTTGAACAGGGGCCTTGTGCCTGTTTCAACCAAAAACAAATGGATGTTTTGCAACAACATGGATGGACCTGAAGGGTATTACGTTAAGTGAAATAAGCCAAAGAAAGATAAACACCTATGATTTCACTCATGTGGCAAATAAACAAATACATGGACAAAGAGAACAGATTAGTGGTTGCCAGAGGGGAATGGGGTTGGGACGTGGGCATAAGGGGCAGAGGGGCACATATATGGTGACTGACAAATAATAATGTGCAACTGAAATTTCACAATGTTATAAACTATTATGACTTCCACTAAATAAATAAATAAACAAAGGACCTGTTTTGAAAATCTGGTTCTGCTGTTAACGAAGTTTGAAAACTACTGTACTTAAGGGTTAGGACATGAATTTCGTTAATATCTATGGACTAGAGCCAAGATCCTTCCCAAGAGGCCAGAGGCATACAGATGCAGGGTCAGAATACATAAGGACCATCAACATCATGGATATTTGGAGTCCGGAATGATCACAAAGTGTTAATCCTCAGAATGGCTAAGGGACAGGATGTGGGGAGGTAAGCAGGCACTTAAGTTATGGCATCACAACTGCTCTGGGGAAACCTGGGCTAACCTGTGAAAGCTTACAGACCTCCCTTCAGGCACATTAAAGCTAGAAGTGTGTAAGTGGCTTCCAGAGATGAAATACTTTCATGTTCAGTGCTTCACTTTCCTCAGAACTGCTTTGCTACAGAATCCTGCCCTGCTGTGACTGCTGCCCATCAGAGTGAACTTGGACAGGATCCCAACACTAAATGAACATGAAGGTGAGTTATATGTTTGACATGAAAACAGCGTTAGGTCAATGTCTCTCTTTTCTTTCTTTTTAAAATTCTGTAGGGCTCACAGGCTCTGGAGAAATGGGACTACTCTCAGTTAATGGCTGCTTTTTAATCTGTTCAGTGGCTTAAACTCAGATTCATGCATCAGATCTTTGTAAGGTGAAAAGAACATTGCCTCTAAGTGTCAAATATGTGAGTTGCTCACATGAGCCAAGTAATCACCTAAGAATCCCCAGTACATTTCTTTGGTTCAGTTGCAAAGCCATAGCCCAGAGATCATCCATCTCTAGCTCAGGCACGGCCCATAGGCATTCAATACCTGCCTCAAAATTTTAGAAGTAACTTAAGTCCCAGAATAAAGCTGCTCATGTTTTTTTTTTTTTTTTTTTTTTTTGCTGAGGAAGATCCACCCTCACCTAACATCTGTTGCCAATCTTCTTCTTTTTGTATGTGAGATGCACCACAGCATGGCCACTGACAGACAAATGGTGTAGACCCACAGCCAGGATCTGAACCCAGGCCACTGAAGCAGAGCATGCCAAACTTAATCACTAGGCCACCAGGGCTGGCCCTCATGAGTCTTCCTGATGTATGTCAGCAACTCGGTTAATTCACTGAAGAAAGAAAATGGATTGTGAATGTTTACTTTCATTAAATCTATGCTCATTGATTGTACAGCAAAGAACATATATAAGAAGTGTTACACACAAAATGAGATTAATTCATTTAAGACTGACAGGTATATACTAAGGTACAAAAACAAGTGCTTGACTTGGAAATTTAACTTTATTTAGAAATGTTCTCCTATAAACAAAGATGCCATTCCACACCCTTTAAAGTGTTATAACTGATAATTTTCAGAAAAACCATTTACATAGTTTTAATCTCTCTGCATAAAATTGTATTATGGGATGAGCAAATATGGGATGGTCTGAGACATACAAACAAAACAAAAACAACTGATCCAGCATGAATGCTCTATTGACAGAGAGAATGAGGAAATAAGAATCATACCCCTTCATGTGCTCCTCAGAGATGGAAACGTGGTAATTTTGGGAGAGGGAAATGCTTCACAATAAAGGCTTCTTATGTAGCATGGTTTTAATTGTGATTGTTTCTGATTGCTCTTGCAGGCTAATATTTATGGTGATTTAAAAAAATAAGTCATCATTGTAAAAAGGGCATAGACTTTTCTACATAGATTTTTCTACCAATGAAAATACATAAATACTGATCTGGTCTCATCATTCAGGCCAATTAATAAAATAACAAATGCATGAAAAGAACTTAAAACAAAAACACAATCATCATGTTACTATCTGACTTACAAAATTAGAATTCTCCCTGAGATCAGAGAGTAATGCTTCTCAATAGTTACTATAAATTTGAATTTTTCATAGCCGAGACAATATATAGACAAAGTATTTAATCAAACAGTTCAAAATAAAATTATCCAAATTACCTAGTTATCATTTTATATGTAGTAACTACTCTTTAAAAATTCTTTAAATTGTATCTAGGAGGATAATCACTCTCATATCATAGCTAACTCATAAGGAACTTCAAAACTGAAAAAAAATTCATCCCTGAGAAGTGAGAGAGAAAAATCGCTAAAGACATAGAAGTGACAGTCCGGTACACTTTTAACAATTATTAGCATAGCATGAACTTTTATTAACAGTCAGCAATCAAATGTAATTCCAGTCCTGGATAGTTACTGCCTCTGATGATCTGATCTTTTTGTAATGAAACTATAAGTGCAACATTTAAAAAAATCAGATAAATAGGGACTCTGGTTTTATTGTCAGGATTACATTTTTGTCAAGTCCAAGGACAGCCAGCTAAGATATGTATGTTCCAATAAAGACTGAAGTAATAACTTCTGCTGGCAGCTCTTCTTCTGAGTCTCCATTTCCTCCACTGATCTTCATCCAAACAGTAAAAGCAAAACAATTGCAACTGAG